GTTTGGATAGCCGTGGGATCTGTCGACTCAGTAGATTTGTGGACGTCCCCAGACAAGCCTCCACATAGCGCCAGGCAGATGGGTGGCCTACCCACCCGGCGAGCCCCGCGTCCGCCCCCCGGGCGCTGAACCGGACATCGGAGATGGAAAACCGGAAGCGCGGGGCGGGAGCAATCTAATTGGACGAAGAGGGTTCGTCCGGCGGGGCATTGAACAACTCTATCATAAACAAGAGAGTTAATCCAGGGATGCAAGCGCGCTCCGCTGAGTGGAAGACGCAGGAGGAAGGGAGGAAGCGGAGACGGAGGAAGGGGGTGGAGGGGGAGTGCGAGTCGGTGAGGCTGCGCGCAGCGCGCACTCCGTGGGCTGCGTCCCTCACAGTAACTCGCGCGCAACGACCACCGTCTACCCGGTCAGCAGCAAGTAAGTGCACTATTGGCTGTCGCGGGCGTTTTTAAAGTTATGACCACGACGGCGGCGTCCCGCCCCGCTCGGCAGAGACTGTTATGTGCAACCTCCATTTGGCCGCAGCGCAGTGGCGGTCGCCAGCGCCGCCGCGGCAGCACGTGCTAAAAGGAAACGGATCGCAACGACACCGCCGCGCCTCGGCAGCGACTCACCGAGCGAGCTGGGCGGCCTACCTGCCGGGCGGGGGGCGGGCGGAGCAGCGACGCGCCTAACAAATTGGGAAGGGTGGATGGGCGAGGGGGAGGGCGGCGAGGCGGCGACGGGTCCGAGCCGCCGGCGCGAAAGTCCTCGGCGCTAATGGCACCTATGAAGGGCGACAAATGGCAGTGTATCGCCGCCCCACGAACCGACTCGGCCCATTTACACCAGAACCTCCCCGGATTGACCGAAAGTGACCACGGGCGCTGCTAAGGCGGCTCATTTGTTTAGGCCCCTGATAGCGCGCGCGAGCGGGGCTTAGGGGGCGGCGCGCTAATGGCTGGGGTTATATGTATCCATCTGCGCACCTAAGCCGGCCCCGCCCGTCCAGGGGGGATCAAGCCCCGCATCCGTCTCACGGGCGCGGCGCGGCTTTCCGAGGAAGGCGGGCACAGGGCTGCGGCCGTGATCAAGCAGTAGTGCCGGGCACTGAGTGCGCAATGGGAGATGAGTAATGCGGCGACCAAACACCACACGACAAACTGGCAGGGAATGGCATGTCTCACGGCCGGCGTGTCGGCGGGTGCGCGGCGCGGCGGCCGGCCCCCTCGCGGCCACCTGGCCCTTGCTGCGCAGGTGTACGTTGGGCTGCCTGCCTGTCGGGCGCTTCGGGTGAGAGTCTGTGCCGTGTAGCGCGGGGCGGCGAACATCGCGCCACCGCACCGCCGCGGTGCCCCCTGGGAGAGCCCTACTCGGAGAACTATTTTCCCCGGGGGCGTCGACGCCGGCGGGCGCCCCCCGGTAAGCGTCGGTGAGACGGGCGGCGCATGAAACAGAAAGCGGGCCGGCGGAAGTCGCCCCGCCCCGAGACATATTCCGCCGCCGTACATCCCCGCCCGATGCATTACACACACCCATATTTTCCGCGCAAATCTTTCATGCATGAGAAATTTATGGCGCGAGCGAAGAGTTTGAGTTATGGGCCCCGGGCCGGAGGCGGGCCGGCCGCGGCGCGCTCCTTGCCTGAGCTGACTCCTGGGGGAGGGCGCCGGGCGCTGCGCAGCGGCCCGTGCTCATGGAATTAAGCGCGGTGTCGCAGCCAGCCAACTCTTTTCCTTCCGTCGCTTCCGGTCCCCCTCTCCCTCCAGCAGAGTCGAGCAGGGGCGCCCCGGGACCCACAAAACAAAACCTAATCTAGTCCGCAGAGAGAGCCTCGGGGCGGCGGGCGCGGCGAGCTGAAGGCCGTAGCCGTAGGGGTAGCGGGGCAAGGCGAGGCGCCTAGGGGCCAACAACCGGGGGGAGGAGGGGGGGGGGAGACGGCAGCGGCAGCAACGATCATAAACGTCGTGACCCACGCATTGCTTCGTTACATTAACCTGTGACTTGATTTTGATTGAATTACCATCAAAAAGATTATTTGCCAATGTCTTGCTGGTCAGACACACAAGTCAGAGGCGAAGAGCAAAGAACACTTCACAGTACATCTAGCATTCGATTAAAAATCAGTATATACCCTACGAATCAGATAACACCAAATTTAAAAACCATCAGGTATGTTAAATAATTACTTTTACTCTAATCAGTTGCCTTCACTGCACATCTATCTTAGAGGCCACAGTATAGGCATCCTTCGACTGACGTTGAAATCACTGTTTCCGACAGCTGAAGCCCGCAAATATTTAGGGCCTAAATATTTAGAACTTTAGAATCCGATCAAAATGACTCATTCATTTGGCTACCAGTTAGAGTACACTCATTTAAGAATGAGGATCAAAACCATAATACAACAGGAGTATTATCAGAGACTGCTTTCCTAAGCTAATCTGTGTTGATGATTACGAATCTGATAAAGTTTAAGAAATGTGCATGCTCTTGCTCAATCTTTCTATGAACTACCCAGTTCAACGTTCATCAATGTTCAACCAGTCATGTGAAGATTAGAGGTGTTTCCACTATTGGCACAGGCGTTACATAAAAGAGGGAGGGGGAGACTCTGCATTTTTGATGTTCAAAAGATGTTGACTAAAACAATGAAATCAAACCAAGCTCCAGAATTGCCTTGCAGGGAAGGGGGGTGGGGGTGTTCATTTGGCCCATGTGTGGAGGCGGTCCCGGCGCGCGGCCGGCTCGCCGACTAACCTCCGATCGCAAAGACCCCTGAGCCTAATGTTTGTCTAATGGGATCCCTGCCGTGACCAAGGGGCGCAGACACACTTACTTGTTTGGCCAAATATAGCAAAACGAATCGAAGACGATGACTCCAGCTGAGGATGTGCTGGACCTCGATGAAGCACTTCACACAACACACCGGCGAACGATCACAGACGTCCAGCACTCACGACTATTGAAACGGGCTTTGCCAAAGGTCAAATTACTGATGTTCTCATAAGTCTTTCAAGACGATAATTAGGAAAAACGTGTAAAACTGTTTGAAAAGGGTTCTTGGTGCAGTCACGGCAAGTCACAGTAGAAGCGCGCGAACCGAAATAAACGAAAGGATAGACTGAGATGGAACCAAGAAAGGCGATATGAGAAACTGCGGGTGCGCTACATCGGAGCGTTGCTGGTTTAAAACAACATCGCAAACACACCGCGACAAAGTCCTCACAAAAGAGATTTGTCACAAAACGTCAGGTCAGAATAATAAAAATTTGAATCACTTTCATGAGCTTTTGGACTCCAATTCGTCATTTTTCATTACAATACGTCATTTTGACGTTTTGCGACGAATCCACGTTGATAGGGAATGACCTCCCCCAGCTGGCTAATTGCAGGGTTCGACATCAGATTAACGTCAAAATGGAACATTTGATAGCCAAATTTTCTCTCAGTTGGAACGGCATTACTTTAACCTTTTCATTTGATTATGTTGCATCGCGTTTATCTGGCGAGTCATCCGGCTGAGAGGGGGCGGAGCGTTTGAGATGCTTCGCACCAGAATGGGAACAAAGCTTTACTGGTTTGGGTAAATTGGTAAATACCATACGGTTTGATCAATTGATTTAATCATTTAGGTTGTTTGATCGATACGACTTATTTCGCTTTTTAAATAAGACCAGATAAGATTAAACAAGGATTAAAAGCTTTAGTATGAAACAGCCATTGAAGATTGCTTTCGGTTAGTTTGAAACTCTTCTAAAATACGGATGTGAACAAAAATGTGAATCCATCCCATCAATAAAATCTTTGAATGGGTGTGACTGCGTTGTCCGGACGTCCGATGCGCGACGGTGCTCCTTTGGAGGCCAGTCCAGGCGATCATGAGCAGCATATCCCGAGGCACAAATGGCACAGAAACTCCGTGAACGCCTGCAGGCACATGTAGCACATGCAGCCGGCGCAGCAGACGCAGCACGCCTCGGCGGCCTCTGCAACAGGTCCGCGAGGGCACGGAGTAGACACCAGACACTTTGGAGCAGGCCTCAAATGGTGTGCTCGGCCAGGACTTACCGTTGTTACTGCTGGACTCGGTGGTGACGGTAACCACCTGCACTGGAGGGGGCGGGGGCGGGATGTACGAGATGTTGGTGTTGCCGTCGGGGTAGGGGTACTTCGGTGGCGGCTCCTATTTGTGACAACGAGACAATGACAGTCAGTAAAGGAGCGAGGAACCAACATTTATCACCCTGGGGACTGACTGACTCCTCTTCTTACCATGTTCTCCGTTGAAGTTCAGGAGGTCCTCCTCGGTGTAGAGAATCCACAGGATAAGCTAGCTGCGCAGCGCGGGCACTGCTCGACCGCACCGAGTGACAGGATTGAAGTAAATCGGACCATCCAACCAGCCAGTGTCAGGTGGGCGGAAGGGGCGGCTAGAGCCCGCGGTGACGCACAGCTGATAGGACGCGTGCACATATTACGTGTCAGTAGAAAAGAGGGGGGTGGGGGGCACATTGCGTCCACTGCTCGTGTGGGTGGAGGTCACCACTGTGCACACAGTATCGGTGGCGAAGGACAGCCGCCTCCGAAAAATACCGCCAGCAGTGATTAGTCATTTTTATACAACACTGCATGATGTCGATGTTCATTAGTCACTATCCGATCTTGACATTCCTATGCGTGACAGAGCTTAAACTGACAAAGTGCCTCAGGATGTATCCGGTGTATCTGCGGACGCCGCAGTGTTGCGGGTTTGCATTCCCTCTCGGGGCGGCAGGCGGCAGGTGCCATTTGGCTTCTTACAGGCGGAGGGAGTAGGCAAACCCGCAACACTGCTGTGTCCGCTCTGATACACGCGGTATAGGTCCGTGTATGTATATTTTCATGAAACTCCACAATATTTATTCTTTCTTTATTTTTGTCTTACACTTTGTTGTGCCTTTAGGCATGCGTCTCTACTTGTTGTAATGACTCAATCATTTATTTGTAAGGCTGCAAGTATGTGTGCAGTAGTGGTATTAAGATCCCCCCCCCCTTTTTCGGACAGTCTCAGATCGCACACCTGAAAGACAACATGCGTCTGTACGGCGTGGTCCACAGACCCCTTCCTTTATTTTGCTTATACTGCACCGCATGCAGGCGTGCGGGTGGGATTGCCTACCGTCTCTCGCCACGGCGCCTTCTGGCCCTGTGTGAGTAGGCAAGCCTGCCCACATGCCTGCATATAAGCAAAAATAAAGGAAGGGAGTCTATGGACCACCCTGTATGTCGGCGACCCATCGGCCTACCAATAGGTGCTCCTACAAACCCCTGAGTTTTGGATGCACTTTCCGAAAAAAAAATGGTCATTTTATATATGTCCCATCGTGATATCGGCAAGACTTTTTATTGTCTGAATTTTTGTTTGAGTGATACTCTTACACGTGTTTTGAACTTTTAGCATGTCGTCCTGCAAATGTTGTGTGAGTGTGTTTCTGTTCAGTTTTTTTTTATTTTATTTAGTTTTGGCCTCCCTTGTATGTGTGTTTACGACATCGACCATATGTCAATTTTAACTCAAGAGTAAGGAAAGCAAGGCACAAGATACCTTTAGTAGTTGGAGTCAGTTGAAACTGTGTCCAGTTATTTTCCATTACTCGTGAATCTTCCGAGTGTATATACGGTTGGGGTGGATTACGTTTCTCCTCTGCCTTCAACCCCCACCCCCACTCTTTCCTGTCTTCCGGTTCCGCTTGTCAAAGTTAAGAGAAGGTCAGAGTTTGCCAGAAAAGAGATAGAGAGGGGGGAGGGGAGGTCTTTTCCTCGTCCTCCCCCAATCAGGGCGCTCGGTGCTACCGCGCGCCAAATGAGCGAGGATAATGTGAGCTGGACAGAAAAATTGGGAGGATCTAATATATAAGACCAGGACACCAGGCAGGGGCGAGAGGCATCCCTTCAGACGGAGGGGGAGGGAGAGGCGGCCGAAATGGCTGGAAATTAGTCGTCAAGACAGTGGAATTTGTGGTGTCACGAGTCAGCCGCGGCCAAAAAGGCGAGATTATGCACCGCCGGGTGATCACGGCGCCCGGCCGCGCCTGGCGCCTGTCGGCGGCCCAGTGAGTTACGGCTGCGGCCGGGGAGCACGGACGACCGCTGGGCATGCGTGCTCCCGCGGCCAGCCAGCAGCCCTTTAGCAGGCCGTTTGATACATGTGTTCAGCAGGAGAAGGATGGCGGGGGAGAGAGTCATCATAGTAATCGTTTACAAGCGTTTTTCGACAGTGGACAGAGAAAAGGTGCATTTATTTCAGATTATTTGAAGGACAATACTGCGAGTATGGGCAATGGAGAATGGAGAAAATAAATAAAACAGGTAATTTTAACAACGGCCAACCTTGAAGACCGATAACAGATGAAACGGAAAGCAACATAATCCTTTCGTCATTTTGAGATTTTTCTAAAGACTAATTTTTTTTCAAAGCAGTCGTTCCTTTGTAGCCTGGGTGGACGTTTCCCATACCTTCACTCCGAATGCAAATTTTTGATTAGGCACACCGACTCGCACTCATGCCTGCAAGGGAAGGGACATGATATAACATATAATGATTTAAACTTACTGTCCTAAGTCGTACAAGGTAGGTAGTAGTACACAGCAGCGTAGAGGATTGGAGTTGAAATTTATGGAGTTGCTGAGGCCGTTGAGGACGAAAGTCATGGCAGAAATAAGTTGGAGGAGTTGAATCTCACTTTTAAAACAAGTGTAGAGACCACTACTCCACTTAGTCCGACGCCAACTTTTTTTGATGGTGCACGGTGACGGTTGGTGACGATTGGTGGAAGGGAGATAGTCCTCGAAACAGCGCCGGGGAGTACCGAGTTCCGACTTATCTGTCCCCTAATCCAACTCAAAGGCACACCTTAAGAAAATAAAATCCCACGCAAGACCACGACCGCCGCTTTTTCAACACACATCGAGCTCGTGGTTTATTCAACAAACTGCATTGAACCATAAAGTGCATTCGTAGTTACTATACAGCATGTACTCGCCACGGTCTGAATACCTGCGCGTGGCACTCCCAGGCTCGTTGCGCTATCAGAGACAATAAACACTCCAGAGACAGAGAGGCTTATCAGAAGAGTCTTGTTCAGCCCAAGCCACCTCACAGCACACGAGCCGACAGGTTCGTGGCAGAGGCTGATCAAGCTACAAAGTTACTCGCCCCGCCCCGATACCTAGAACTGCTGGGAGCACACGGGCGACGCGGCGACGGCGAGGTGCTGGCTGACGACCAGCCCCGTCGGTGAGCTGGAAGAGTTAGATCTGGCAGGCCGAGTTCAAAAATCACTGCCGAGATCCCGACTTCCAACTCGCCGCCGGGGCCCTTTGGCTGCTGGGGTGCTGCTGGCGCTGAGGTGGCCGACGAGGCGGTGAGTGAGGAGGCGCGACGCGCGCGGGGGCGGCCGGAGCACTCGGCGGGCCCTGCGCGCTGGCGGGCACCTGCCCGACTGAGGGAGATCCACCTGACTGCGGACACGAGGGTCCTATATAGCCTGGCGAGTGATAAGGTGTGGGGCCGGTGATAAGAGACGCCGCGCCCCGCCGCGCCCCGCCGCGCTCCACCACGCCTCGCCACATCATCGCCTTCTGCCTGCCCCGCGGCTCAGTGGACGCCTCCTCCCCCCCTTCCAAAATAATTTTGAATACGCGCACTCGTGTGTCGGGGCGCGCCGCAGTGCTTACGGCACACTGATACACCGAGCAAACACTTGTCCCCTTCCCCGCCCGCCTTCCCTCCCGCGTCCCTCCTCCCCGAGCACCGACCCACCCCTTCCGCGCAGCCAGGTGTGGGCCCGTAAGGACATGAGTCAGCATCGAGGAGCAGACGAGTGGTATTTCCCCTCACGAGTGAGAAATGGAATATGGCGTGCCCTACTGCGGGCATGGTTATTAACAAAATTATAGTTATTATATACTATATACGGTCAATCGGTGGGCTACTCGCCAACACCTGCGCCCTGTCTCCCCTCCCCTCCCCACACGCGCGCT